AAGCATGATTGCCATGAGCGTTCTGGAATTAGAAACAATATGATTTACTGAGCCATTTATTTATAGTTATCCAGTATCAAAACTTTCAGAACAACTCATAAAGTATAAAACAAGGAACTGTGCCCCTGAAAACAATAAGTTTACTTAGACAAAAGACAGTAATTGCCTATTACAGATCTTCATCTAAAAATTGAAAAAGTCAAATCAGTACCTATTTAACCAATGGCACCTGAAGTGGAGAAAAGGTTATATATGTGTGTATGGAGATAGATATAGATATAGATATTGATAGGGGTAGGTGTAGGGATAGGGGTAGGGATAGGGGTAGAGGTAAAGATAGAGACAGAGACAGAGAGATAGATAGTTTGGATCATACAATCACAGCTGCCATCTTAAAATTTTGATCCCCTCCCTGCAGACATTGTTAACTAAGAAATAGTGTACACATGTCACAGAGAGATGATCTCTAGCAAGTCTGCACAATATGCTGCCAAACAGGCTTGTTATGGCTTGCCATGGGTTGTGGGTTTTTTTTTTTAAAATAAACCACTGACTATGAATGTCACCACCACGAGAAAGGATGTGCTTCCTCCAAGTAGATTTTTGCAACCACTTTGAACAAAAAAAAAAAACATACTGTCAAGCAGCTCCAACACATACAAGTCCTAAACACACTGTCAGCTAGACAGTGCTAACCAGGATTTCCCTGCTTTTCTGAAATAGAAGCAGAAAAAGTTCATAGGTACCTTAGTGAGCCTGATGCTACAATGGGGGGAAAATCTCTATACTTCAATGTATGGAACAGAAAGGGGAAAAATCTACCATATAGGCATTATCTTCTTACCTCATACAAAGAGGCTGTTGACAGTCTCTGGAAAAGTCAAATATAATATGCAGCCTCAGTATAAGGTAAAATTCAGAGCAAGTTAATGTTTTCCATTTCCTGTTAGATATGAAAATAATGCCTGTGTGTAAAGCTGGTTTTGTTCAGCCTGACATCAAATTTATAGAATCAAGCCCATCATCTATGCCAGAAAGAAAAAGATAAATGATGAAAATGGACTGTTTCCAAGCAAAATGCCTCAATGAAATGTAATGTATGATACCATTTCATACTTGCATTCTACATGATAAAAATTAAACTTCAGCTGATCTAAAGATTTTTCCAACGTGCTTTCATTGGAGGAAAGTGATTTTATTTCTCAAATATCTGGGGTATATTTATTTCATTTTCCACAGTGAGCATGAACAATACAGAGAAGAATGCAATAGGTCAGTTTTATGAGCAGGCCTCTTCATATCGATCCTTGTCAAAACAAACCAAAGGACTCAATAAAATTCTAGCTAATAGGCAACTATACGATACATGCTTAATTTTGCTCAAATGAAATACAGTATCAGTACAAGGAAGCACAAATCAATGAATTATGTTGTGTGCTGTTAAAAGAATAATGGAGAACCCTTGGGGCTTGGCATGTTAAGAATTCTGAAAATGCCTAACCTGACTCTGCTAGTGTGTTACCCCTCCTCCCCCTGAACAAAAGAGAAACAATTCTCTATCCCACACACCCAACCCATCTAGGACACCTGAGCAGCAGCACTCAGCGGCAGCCCTGAGGCTGGGCCTGAAGTAGAGGCTGGACCTCAACTTCGATCCTAACATCACCGCAGCCACTCAAAAAGGTTGCCTTGCAGTCCCAGGATCTGCCACACACTGCTTATGTTCACATACTGCTATATTCAGATGCTGTTCTCTTTCTGTTGCTAGACCTCTGCAGCCTAACCAATGTTGTTCCAGGTCACATGAGGCCTTCATTCTTGAAGTGGCTTTGGAGAATGCGACTTTTGCAATTTCTGAAAAACACACAAAAGCATGCCCCATTCTTGCATTATTTTCAGAGGCTCCAGAAGCCCTGCAAAAGCCGTCCTTCTGCAACCTCCACACACAACCAAAATCATGCAAGAACAGGGTGTGCTTTCAAGAATAGCTGCTGCTGGGTGTTGTGAATGCTGGCGTGTTACCCAAAATGTTGTGGTGTGTCACCTTTGATACATGTGTCATAAGTTTGCCATCACAGTCTTAGAATGACTAATCACTGTTTTATCATTTATGCTAACATTGGGAGATAATGAGGTAAAATTGAAATCCTATTGTTTATTTTGTGCAGACATTAGAACTAGTTCAGAATCATTGCTCTCTGAATTGCATAAATTATAGAAAGTTTTGAAATAATGTATTTAGACTCCAAAATGGGTAATAGTATCCAAATAGAAAAAGAAAAATAGCTGAGAATAATTAGGTACACACTGGTTCCTGCATTTTCAGTATCAACAGATTCTATTCTCTTAAAAAACCCAGAACATCATATATGGAAGGCCTGCTGCTTGCTTTCCCCCCCCACAACATTGCTAAAGTATTTTAATTTGGAAGAAAGGAATAAATCAATATTTTTTTTAATGTGCAGAAACAATGTAATATCAAAAGTGTCAAACAGTCAATCTCCACAGGGGCTGGACCTCTGAATACTCTAAAATATCAGCAACTGGATTAAACTGCCTTTGATACATTTCTTGAACATTGGAGTTTTAACTGATAACTGTGGGTGGAGTCTTTTATTACTATTCTCTACAAGAATACTAAGGATAAATCATCAATTAATACTTTTTGCTGGTCTTTGCTGCACCCAGAAGTTACAGGAGTTTATAGGAAAAAGTAAAAAGGAAGGAAAATGCCACTACCTTGCTGCTATAGTCCTTTGGGATTGGGCGGCATATAAATATTTGTAAATAAATAAATAAATAAATAATAAATATTTGAAAAACAAAAGACACCCTGAATCTGATGTCTGGTGATCAGTCTGGAGAAGATTAAGCTTTCAAGACATGTACCAGTTTACAAACGCAAGATGCAAATTGGCCTCCCCAAATAACTGTTTAAAATGGTGTTTAGAATCTTATCATGAATACATTACAGTAAACACAGATGAATGTTAGATGTGAAGAAAAGGATTAGGCCTCAACACAGAAAGTGTGGACAAAGCAAGAAAACACTTCTGCACTATAAAATAGGAATTAGACCTCAGAGAAAACTAAGTTTGGAAATCAGGCAAAGCTTGAGCACGTACAAATTAAAATGCCAGTTGAATTCCTACTCTACATAGCCACTGCACTCAAAAGTCTGGGTAATAATAATGATGATGATGATGATGATGATGATGATGTTGGAAGGGACCTTGGAGGTCATCTAGTCCAACCCCCTGCTCAGGTAGGAAACCCTATACCATTTCGGACAATGGTTGTCCAGTCCCTTCTTAAAAACTTCCAGTGTTGGAGCATTCACCGTTTCTGGAGGTAGGTTAGAATCTTTCCTGCATCCTGAAATACTGCACCCAGATTTTGTTTTTTCCTTCTTCACAGTTAGGTACCATGTCCAGGAAAATTCAGAAAAACTAAAAGCCTCTAGCAAATCTCCTCTTGGTATTTAATTTTAACCATGATGTTAATTTTTTAGAGACAGAAAAGATTCATCTCAGGCCAATTGTAACACATTCAGACTTAGTACTATTTCTAGAAACTTGCATTTCAAGAAGTGCACTTTACACCCACCAATTTTACAATTTTTATACAAGAGGATATATAGGGAAAGGCTACTACATCCTATTCCATACATGTACCTTCAATTAATTTTTATGAATTCAAAGCACTTTTCTTTATAAACACAATGGTTCATTTTGCATTTTAGCACTCCCATAGCCAATTTTTATGTATAGCCTAGAAAGAAGCACTACATATTTTCAATTTAGCTTAAAACAAAAGTGAATTTGTTCAGAAAGATGTGGAGCTTTTCCCCAAATGTAATTAATTTTTTTCTACTTTACAGTCTTTGCTATGAATCTATGTCATTTTCTAAAGCTCCATCATTTTTTTCATCCAAAGTGCTTTACAAGCTTTTTATACATTTAGAAAAGAATAAAGCTTTTCTTACTGAAGTATTCTTATTAGATACTTTTAAAAATTAAAATACAAGATCATCATAATATCATCCTTATTTTCTGTCTTGAAATGCCAACGTTCTTGTTCTTTCTGATTAGATAAATTCCATCGGAAAAAGTTCTTTAAAGGAAATTTATAGTCTAGCCATTATTCGTAAAAATGTTTTTGATTCAAATATACCGGTACTTTAATATTAGTAATATTTATATTGTACAATGAAGGCAAATGACATTAGCAGCCAAAGAAATTTCTGCCTGTATCAAAAATCTATCTTAACTTATCTATTTATGGCTCTCCAGATAACTGAGAAAAAAGTGAGAGAACCATATACATCTTGTTAACATCTGATGGTGCTTAAACAAATCCAGAAAAGGTACCAAGTTTTTGTTTATTGAAATGTGAAGTTTGCTACCAAAATCCTAACACTTTTGAAATAAGGCCTTCAAGTTACATGGCTGAGGCCAAAATAATAGAGTTGTCTTACAATCCACTTTGCATAAATGAGAAAGGAAAAATAGATAACCTAAAACTAAACAAAACAGAAACCATGCCTTGCAAAAAAGTTAGAATCAGACAGAATCAAAATGAAATTTACATTAACTGAACTAATAATGATTAATTCACAATAAAAGAATCAGTTTAGTGTTAACGATTAAGGCACTGTGATAGAAATATATGTCCTGCCCATAGGCAAAAAGCCAGCTGGGTGATTTTGGGCCAGTCATTCTCTCAAATTCCTAAAAAGAAGGCAATGGCAAACCACTTTTCTTGCCAAGAAAACTTCAGAAACTAGTTCAGGAATTTGCAAGGAGTCAACATTAAACCAAAGGCAAATAATAATAACAATAATAACAACATCACTTTTAATACCTATAAAAGTACATATAGCATTCCCCTTGCACACACAGATGACTCTCATACATAAAATACACAGAAACACACTTTCTCCACTGTGTTCAGACTACTAGAGAACAGACTGCATTATTGTATAGTATAGCTCTGCTTACCTGTCCTTCAAACTTTGCAGTGCCTCCAACTGGCACCTGGATATTTCGTGGAGGTAGAATAAATGCTGGTGCTTCTGTTGAAGCTGGAGGTCTTAGAGGAGAGTGGTTTAAAGTCAAGGTGGCTTTGGAGATCTGAGTCGATACCAGTTTGACATCCCCCATGTTAAGACCTTCAGAAACATTTTTTTTAAAAAAAGAAGAGGATGCAAATATGAGCTTAACAAGCACTATTAGAAGTCACTTAAATCTGCAAACTATTACAGATGTGGTTAAAAGTATACCCCACTGAATCGGATGGGACTTTCTTCAGAGAAGAAACCCATGAACATAAATATTTACAAATAAAGTTCCATTTATTTAAGTGGAAACTGAAATCATTAAATTATGATTAGATAAAAGCCCAATAGTAAGATACAGGTAGTCTTTGAGATATGACCATAATGGAACCTGCCTATTACATTTTCATGTTACAATAGTCATTAAGTAAAGCATTTCATCTAATAAAGCCCCACCCCCTGCTTTCCCCAATGAATTGTTAAACTAATGCCCGGGTTGTTAAGTGGAGTATAAAGTGCCTCAGGGGTGGGAGAGGCCCTTGGAGGCCTAGTACAGTCAAAGACCCGCCTGACATGGTCCTTCCAAAGGCGCCGCCATGCCAATTCCTGCCCCTTGGCTCCCCACAGACCTTTTTCCACTCCCACTGGGTCTCTCCAGCCTTAGGCTCGATTCTCAGCCAACTGGGCCAAACAACCTCCCCTCATTTACTTTTTGAAGGGCTACAAGGCCTTCCACAGTCCTGGAATGAATGGCTTTTCTGTGCAGCCACATGATGCAGTTCCAGAAGTAGCTACCATTTTGTACTACCAACAAATGGCAGCCACATTCAGGTTGCCATTCCATGACCCTGGGACAAACTGCTTCATTCTGCTGTCTTAGCAAGATCTGCCTTAGCAAGGTCTGTACATCACTGCAGAAGATTTGCAGCATTGTACAGACCTCATTAAGCCAGAACAATGAAGCAATTTGTCTAGTGGGTGCCGTTTTGTTCCTGTCCATGAGTGAGTGGGAGAAAATGGCAGCCATGTTCACACTGTCACCATGTGGCCAGGGGATAACTGGAATCTTTTTTTTCTCCTTTTTGCACACAAAATTAGCAGTGTCTAAAATCCCAACCACAACTGCATATATACTAGCCTCACATTAACTGTATGTTTAGTTGCATTAAACACAACCTGCTATCAATTTACAATTTGCACTAAATTGAATATTGCATTATTTGAACTTGTATTAACTGTGACTTAGCTGTATACTCTTTGGCAATTCATGCTCTGATATTTATTAAAAGTAAATGCCCAGCAACTCTTTAAATGTTTGAGAAAATGCTTCATTTACTGTAACGTAAGAAAGAAAACCAGTGAACTTTTGATGAGATTAGATATGCTACAATTAACAGGAGGTTAAAGTTAATTATTTATCTTCCTTCATCAATACAAAAGTAAACAACAGAACATTCCTAACATGACTAACAGGTAATTCTAGGTAACTCTCGGCTGATTAAGAGAAGTGTTCGTTATAAGGAGTAAAATATTGTTTAATAGGGACATACTTCTTTATTCAAGCAATTGTTCCTTTTTAATTCTCTGATAAATTAAACCTGGATTACATTAATTGGGTCAAATGATGGGACTATCTTGTAAACTGGGCAATCCATGTTTATTTTACTAAACTGGAGAGGGGCTTCCATTAGTCACCATGTACGAAACCAATGCCAGCCTGCCAAATCACAGGATCAGAAGACTAGCTTTTTTGTGTGATTAATGTTACCTTCTGCATCTACCTGAATTAATGATACCTTCATACAGTTACACTGCTATAAGTCTTCAGGCTTTTCTCCATGCTGCTGGCATATAGGAATATTACATTTCTGTAATTAAAGATATTTCATGCAAACTATTACATAGGAGATATTAGGGGCAGGACAAACATAAAGTTGGATGTTAAAAAAATTGAATAGAACATCTGCCTTAGAGCCTATTGGCAAGGATGAAAAAGACAACAGGATTCAATTTCCAGTTTTCCATGACACCATTATATTCTAAGTAAGAGATTGCTTCCTTTCACTCATCTTACGTTAATTAAAAACAACAGCACAAAAGCAATGTGCATGCCTGAACAGGATACATCATCTATGAACCTATATCCCAGTAATAAATGCATAATGTCTTAAGACCCTGAATGGACAAAATATCTTAAAAGATAAAATACCTGAAATCAGTAATGCACTGCTTTATGAAGGATGGAAAATACAAATCCTCATAGTTTTACATGTAAGGGGATGAGAGTGAAGAAAACATGCCACATTAAGTTTTCCTGAAGTTCTGCCAACCCTAACAAGTCTATTACACCATTTATTACTCACAACTCACAACAGTCACTAGTATTACAAGTGTAATTACTCATCAGTGAAACAAGAATTAATTAAGGATGACTAATGGATTCAAGTCATTTATTCCAAAGCAGGTTTTATTTCATTACTTCATAAGAGGCCCAACGTTTATACTTTTTTGTCAAGAACAAAACATATGGATAGATATATTTAGCATAGCTAAATTAGATGTTATGTTAACAGCCCTCTGAATACTACTCCTGGGATTCCTCATCTTTTGGTTTAGAAAAAGCAGTCATGAGTGATCCTACTGAGTTTGGAACTCCATCACTGGAGAAAGAATAGTCAACCTCTCTCTGTCATTTTTTCCCCCATTATAAATGACTTTCTCAAAACTAGATATGTCTTAGGTATCAAAATGGTTTAAACTGATATTCTTGGGGTTTCATCACTTCCTTCCTCTCCCAGTTCAGTCCTCTTTCTCTTCTGAGTCTGGCCTGAGCCATTCAGATAATTTACCTGTTGAGATTCAGTCTCTTTCCAAGGCAGGGAAGGCACACTGTTTTAGCAATGGAGAGACATAAGGCATTTAACTCATGGTTTTCCAATATCAAGTTGTTTCCTAAATAAGGCTTGTTCTTCTGTCATACAAATACCAGCCTCAAAATTATTTTCTTATTAAAAAAAATTAATACTCCTGACATGTGTTTTTCTCTTTCCCTGTATAATCGTACCTGACATGCAAAAAATACTATTTTAGCTCTCTGTAGCTTTATCCCAAATTTCTTGATATTAAGTCTATTTAAAAATGATCTATGTGAGAGACGACTGACGTTAATCTTGGAAACTTGGTGTTTCCCTTTACTAAAGAGGTTGCCTAGTTTCATGCTCTAGTCTAGACTATGCCAATTGTCTAATGGGAAACTCCATTGACAGCTGAATAGGTTGCTGATATCTTATTTCAACATTAGCAACAAGTGAATATTGTTACTAGCTTGGGTAATGTTGTTATTCAAATGTTACAGAAAATGGGTCAAGTCCTCTGTTCCAGCTCCTCCAGCCTTCTTGTTTTATTCTCTAGGATTTCTACTAGAAAGTTTAGTGGAACTCAAGATTTTTTTCAAGGTTTTCGTCCTCCAATATAAGTTATACAATGTCCAGCAGGCAGCTGAATTTTCTATGGGTATTTTTTTGTCCATTTTTAAAATAGATTTTATTAAAGGTCTTGCAAAGAATATAAAAACTAACACAAACTAATGAAGGAAGGAAGGAAGGAAGGAAGGAAGGAAGGAAGGAAGGAAGGAAGGAAGGAAGGAAGGAAGGAAGGATGAAAAAGTGAAAAAAGAATCAAAAGACAGAGGGGAAAAAAGCTTCCAGTTTTTTCTGCAGAAAGTATAAGTACAATATTGGCTCTCACTCTGTTTACACAATGTCCATGGCTCATATTGGAATGGCTTTGTTTCTTATATTTTTGACAAATGAAGTTGTCTAACAGACCATTCCAATAACAAGCAACAATGATCCCTAGTGGACAACTGTGGCAATAATATCTGGAAATGTGTCTGGTAACAACAATGACACTTTTAGGAGCCTAGACCAGGGGTAAGCAACCTCGGCTCTTTTATGACTCATGGACTTCAACTCCCGGAATTCCTGAGCCAGCTGGCTCAGGAATTCTGGGAGTTGAAGTCCATGAGTCATAAAAGAGCCAAGGTTGCCTACCCCTGGCCTAGACCTAAGTCACATTAAGTTTGCATCATGGTTGTTGTATCATACAATACAATTCATGATTGTGTAAAACCACATGGTATTCATAGCAGTTACTTCATTAAGTCACTGATGCCCTAGTCCAGGGGTAGCTGGCTCAGGAATTCTGGGAGTTGAAGTCCATGAGTCATAAAAGAGCCAAGGTTGCCTAACCCTGCCCTAGTCACATCATAGCTTGACTACTGCAATATGATGCACACGGGGGTACCTTTGAAATCTACTTGGATGGTTTAGAATGCAGCACTGCAGGCAGTGATGGGCATACCTTAATATGACCATGTGACATCTGTGCTTTGAGAACTAAACTACTGGCTAGTATCTTCCAGGTATGACTTGAGGTACTGGTTAGCACTTATATAGCCCAACATGGCACAGGTCAAGGCTATGTAAGGGACCCTGATATCTGCCCAGTCACTATAAGCCAACAAAATTGATGTGTTCCAAATTCCTTCAATTAAGCAGTGCTATTTGTTGGGATGCCGAAAGTATGCCTTCTCTTTTGGGGCACCTACCTTTTGGACTGAGATCACCTTGAAATTTTATGTGTCTCCCACCTATGAATCTTGAAGACCTGGTTGTTCTCCCACATCTTGGATTAAGAGGGTTTTGTTTGATATGATTTTGTCTGTTTTTGTACAATATCTGAATCCCACTTTTTCTTTTGTATCATACTTTCACTATTTAGTATATTATGAGCTATACACTGTTTATTGTAAATTGTGTTATTGTGTTTGTGTAATTAAAGAGAAAGATGGGGTGCTACTATAATGAAGAAAACCACATAAATACATAAACAATACTTAAATTAATAGCAAATTTAAATATACTGGGTGAGATACTGAGCTACTGATAAGAATAATCTGCACCATCTTTTAAAACTCTGTTTAAAAGGTAGTTTAATTTCTCTTCTTTACTGTTCTTCTTTACTGTTCCTTGTTCATGGGATTTTCATTATCAGTTTAACAGCTTTGGGTGAGCATATGCAAGAAAGGAACTCCCTAGTTATATTCAGTATTC